TTGTAATTATATAAATATCTTTTTTATTTAATATCAATTTTAATAATTAATGATTAAATTTTGCATCATAATTGCATTTGTGATGAATATTTTTTTATGATGAATAAAATTGTTATAAATAATTTGTTAACAATGTCAATTTTTTCTATCACTATAAAATTATTTTCTGTGACAGGTGCCTAATTTGTTACTAAGAGCATTAGTGACAAAGGTTTTACTAACGGTTTAAATTTTATCACTAATAATAATTTGTGACAAAAAATAAAGATTTAATGATCAATAATTTAGTCACTAAATATGAATTTTCTTGTAGTGTACAAAGGATTATGAGATGTAAGTATATCCTTCTTCACTTCTAACTAAACCCTTGAACTCTTATGTCTCGTTGATTATCGTAACCTATTCCACTATTATTTAGGTAGGTGGGACTCTAATATCATTTAAAACTTAATTTTTTTAAATTAATTATTCATTTTGAAATTTCAAGTGGAGGTGTAAACACTATTATACAAATTACTAACGAAAAAGAATAGCACAATTTAGATTGTATTGGACTATATTAACCATTAGATAAGGTCAACTCCCTTGATATTAAGAGTTTTTTTCCTTCTAATAATCTATATTTTACAATTTAGTATGGTACAAATTGTAAAATAAGATTTTCCATTAGTAAAAAGAAAAATACAATTAATTAATACAAGTAATGTGCCCTAATCCCAACATATGGTTTTTCACACATTTACCATTTACAGTCAGCAAAGTACTGAAGCAAACCCCACTTTCCCTTGTTTCCTTTGAAACTGAAATCCCCACTCGAAGCTCAAACTTGATGAAAGCCGTGGCCCTTTCTCTCAACGGTCCAGTTGTGTATGATGTACTGTCTAACTTTGAAGAGCATTGGACGAAGGGCGCCGAGCCCGAAGGAATCAAGAAGCTGAAAAATAGTCATATGATTATGTTTTCTTCTGCTTAGGTTAGAAAGAATTCCAGGCATCATGGGGTTATTGTCTTGCATATTCAGCTAAATTTTCATGAGAGTAAGAAATGGAATTGGTGACATTGAAGTTTTAGTTCATTAAGAAATACTACTATTTTAGAGCAATTTATCCTGAATTTTCTTTTCTTTGTTTACTGATAAAAAGAAAATGTTTTTATCCTTCTTGTGTTTTTCAATGTCAGGTTTTTGTTCAAGAGGCCTTTCAAAGGATCCAAAGAAGCCGCTAGCTAAGTTGAGCGGAAAAGTTTGCTCTATGATTTTCACTTTCAGTCCAAGAGAAAACAAGGGTTTACTGTTTGTAGTAGCAAGAAATACCCGTTATGATGAAATGCAGCCGTTTCAAATAGTCAGCCTAACAAAAATTGTCGGTCCGTTCGCTCTTAGTATTCATGTAGTCTTAAGATATAATCAAAAATCAGGATCTATTGACATTTTAAAGGCTGCTTGGATTTCATGTGAAATTGTTTAAATATTTATAATAAATCTTTTTTGTTGTATTAATTTATTAAGGATATATTTTAATCTTTTTTATTATTATTTTTAATGTTTTAATACCAAAATGTCATAATTTTTCTTCATTCATATTACTAATTTTAATATATTAGAATTTTATTTATGTTAAATACAAGTAAATACAAGTCAATACAAATTTAAGGTAATTTAAGTACTAGTACACAAGTTAAGAAAAACACTGGAGAAATATATTAGAATTTAATGATGGATAAAAGTTAAGACATTTTAAGGGTGTTTTATTACTTTTTAGGTTAAAACTCCATTTTGATCCCTTTACTTTAATAAAAAGACTTTTTTTAGTCCTTTTACTCAAAAAAGCCATTTTTTAGTTCCTCTATTTAAGAAAACCACTTTTTAATCCCTAAAGTTTATCATTCATCTTTTTTTAGTCCTTTGTTATCTTTTTACACAAACGCCACATTAAATAATGAAAATTCCAAGGTAAAAACACCAAAAAGAGGTTTTTTTTTTTTTTTTAAGTAAATGGGTTTTTTTTAAAGTAAATGGACTAAAGGAAGGCTTTTTTAAAGTAAAGAGACCAAAATGGGTTTTTTTAAAGTAGAGGGACTAAAAATGACTTTTTAGTCTTTTTTAGTCCCCTCTGTTTTACAATTTCTATAATTTAAGGTGTCATATGTGTAAAAAAATAACAAAGAGACTGCAAAGAGGTCGAATAATAAACTTTAAAGATAAAAAAGAGTTTTTTTAAGTAAAGAGATTAAAAAGAATTTTTTATTAAAATATAAGGACCAAAGTGACGTTTTAACCTTTTATATTTTTGGTGCAATTCATACCGAAAAAAGTCAAACTTATCTATTTATGGATCACATGCAAATTTGAAACTTGAATTCAAAGACATTTCAAGGCTCCCAACACTCCAGCAGGAAACAAACTTTCACAAGCTGTTGAACCAAGTTGCACATTAACTTCAAAATTATGCATTCGAAAAGTTCTTCTTCCAATAAAATATACACGTTAATTTTTGTCCAAGTTCTTGGAGAGTGGACCAAAGAACCAGGGAATGGAATTTAATCCTAGACTAAAGTGGGAGACTAGGTGTGCTGTTTGGCTGTAAAGGGAAACCAGTCATCGTATGGTAACATTCTTTTTTTTTTTTTTTTATGCATTTATTTAATGTGAATAATACATTGGTAAAAAAATTAAGAGTACATTTATTTTATATTTTTAT